TCCTGGTGTGATTACGGAGTACGCTGCTATAGGCGAATCCTTTGCCGCAAATTTGGCATTTGAAGGGTTTCTCTCCTGTGTGCGTCCTTATGTGTTCCCCGAGGTTACTACTTCGAGAGAAACGTTTCCCGCAAGTCTGGCACTTGTAGGGTTTCTCACCTATGTGGGTCCCCAGGTGTGTAAGGAGTGCAGCGCTTTGAGAGAATCTCTTCGCGCAAAACTGGCAGCTGTAGGGTCTATCACCTGTGCGAGTCCTCGTGTGCCTATAGTCAGCACTATCCGCTGAACTAACGTCGCAGAGTACACCGTTGTCCAGTATATCTGCGACATGGGTCCGCATGTGTGCCCTGAGCAGGGCCATCCTCCTGAAGGGCGCCCCGCAGGTCGCACAGCGGTGGGGCGCCTCCTCGGCAGCGTCCTGCTCGCCGCGGTCCTCTCCGTGCTGCGCGTGCTCCCCGCGAGTCCCAGCAGCACCAGCAGGCGGCGGCTCGGTGGCGGCTGTGGAGGAGAGCGTGCAGAATGAGCGCGAGCTTAGTCAAATTTGACACCAGCAGGTCACGGGGATGAGTTTAAACAAGTTTAAACATGTTTTTTCATACAAACAAGAGAGCGTACAAAGCTGAAAAATAGCAAAATTCGACAAGAAAAGAGGGGGGGGCGTCTCCAGGAGCTAACACTTCTCAGAGGGTCAGGGGGATGACAGCGCGCATAGGACCGTCACAGGGAATGACCATCGCTCCTCGGAGTGTCACGGGGATGACACCGCGTACAGTGCGGTCACGGAGACTGAGTCAACGACCGTCACGGGGTTGACAACGCGTCCAGGTCCGACGAGCTTTGCGTCTTTGCTCATTTGTCTCTGCATGTAAGCAACATATCGTCGTTTCGATGACACCATGAATTACCTTTCAACAAGTTATTTTGAACGAGCTTGTCTTGCGTTTTCCGCCAAATACTCCTTAAGCAATAGGCGAGGGGTGCCCAACTGTGGTAATCAGGTGTACACAGACTTGGTAATCGCTGGTAATCACTGGTAATCCTCAACTCGTGAGGGTCCTTTAAAAGGATCCCTCCCATGGACAGAATCATGGGTTGGCAATCATAGAATGCAAATTTTTAACTTGCATGATAAAGAATCAAGAAATACATGGAGCGGTGGCATTTGCCTTTCAAAAGTGCGCACTGCGCGCGCCCAAATGCATTCCAACCCGGACGCTGGTCTGGTAGAGAGATGTGAGTGGCCGAGTGGCTTCGAGCGTCAGACCGGCGAGTCGAAGGTCGGGGGGTTCGAACACCGCCGGCGGCCGCTCGCTTTTCTTGTCCCCTTCTCTTTCTTTCTCTCTCGCTGGTGTTGTATGAAAAACTAAACGTGCCGCGAGAGTCAGTATGAAAACATATTCGGGCTGCGAGCGGAGCAGCCCGGGCTCGTCATCTCGTCGCCAAAGGGAGACCTGACCGCGACGATCCTGTCGCGGCCCGGACAACGACGGAGCAACGGGAATGCCTCGAGCGGAGCGACGAGGGGTACGACGGTGCGGCGACGGCTAAATGATCACTGTCGCAGCGCTCCGTCGTCGCCGTCTCGTCGCCACCGGGTCGAACGGACAACGCCAGACAAGCTCCGTGTGGTATTTGAACGCTCACCCGGAGGAGACGAGTTTCTGACCGCGTCGCGCTCCGCAGTTCCACTCGGGTAGTTGGCATAGGGGGTTGTCTACATCGTGGCGGGCAGTTAGATGGGGACGCACACGTGCACTGTAAATCCGGATCAAGCCGGCCATTGCCCAACGGTAGGCCTACAAGAGGCCATGGCGCCTTGAGGGCTCCGGGACCGCACGCAACAGCTGGACGCCGCCATGAAACTTACCGAGGAGGACGTCGTCCTGCGGCTCCGGCTCCTTGTGCGTCTTGCTTCTCACGGCCCGCTTAGGGTAGCGGGGGGGCACGGAGGCCATGGCCTTGGGCGCGGCGCCTGAAATGAGAGAAGGGAGAAATGACGACAGCGTTGTGGCTCCGAGCGCGTATATCCGGGGTGTCCAGCAGGTAGGCGACAAAGTCACATGTGACACCCCGGATTTACAGTGTAGGCTTCACTCCCGCACGACTGCATGCAATTCACCAGGTGGCCGTCGTGAAACTTACAGAGGAAGGCGTCATCGTGCAGCTCTGGCTCCGGCGTCTTCCGGCTTACGGCCCGCTTAGGGATACGCGAGGCCCTGGGCTCGGGGGTGCTAAGCCCGGGTGTGCTGAGCCCTGGGGTGCTGAGCCCGGGTGTGCTGAGCCCTGGCGTGCTGAGCCCTGGCGTGCTGAGCCCGGGAGTGCTGAGCCCGGGAGTGCTGAGCCCGGGGGTGCTGAGCCCGGGGGTTCTGAGCCCGGGGGTGCTGAGCCCGGGGGTGCTGAGCCCGGGGGTGCTAAGCCCGGGGGTGCTGAGCCCGGGGGTGCTGAGCCCAGGGGTGCTGACCTCGGGGGTGCTGACCTCCGGGGTGCTGACCTCCGGGGTGCTGACCTCCGGGGTGCTGAGCCCGGGAGTGCTGAGCTCGGAGATCCTGGGCCCGTGGCTGGCGCCTGTAAGAGTAGATACAAATGAAACCGGACTAATCTCCGGGAAGTTCCTTCGTGGGGAGCACGACTGCTTTTAATTCGGGAATGACTGCGAGTGTGTCCGAATTCTCAATCATATCGCTACGAATCGGTGCGCGTCGATGCAGGTCGGTCGCGACTACCCCCGCGGCCGAACGCGAACCGCGACGTCCTGCTTTAGCGAGGGATGGCTGCAGGTTGCCCTCCTTTTTAGCCCTACGTCGAAAGGGGGAAGGGGGAGAGGAGGCAGCAGATCCCTTTAACCCCCCCCCCCTCCTTTACTTTGTACCGCCCTGGACGCCTGCATGAAGGCAAAACGAGTGGACACAGCTTACCCTCGCGGGGCAAGTCAGGGGATGGGCGTGGAGGACGTCCATGTTCTCCGGCAAGATCCAGTACAGATGGGAACGCCGCTGCCTCTCCGGAAGCCTCGTCCTGCTGCTGAGGTGGCTGCTTGCGCTCTGGAGCAGCGAGCTTGCGGCACATGAAAAATGGGGGTCTTGTGGTCCACCCTGAAAAATAAACCAAAACAATGACATTTCAGGTTCAGAAATCAGCCGACTGATTCCGAAGAGCGCTCTCCTATACCTTCCGTATAGCTCCATCCTTGTCGCACTCATGGGGCAGCTCCCCTTGAGCGCTCTTCGGAATCAGTCTGCAGATTATTCTGTCGAGCAGTGATAATGTACGTGGAGGTTACGCGAAAAGAGGAGCCATAAGATCGTGCCTCTGGCGGGGTGGCGTGGCGTAGCGCCAGCGGCTGCCCGCCCATGAGAGGTTAGGTTGTGTGCCGTTACAGTTCAGTCAGATCACAGTATCTAGTAGTTGTGCATCTATGCATGCACCATGGCATCACATTTACCACGCCTCAAGGTTTATTGCGACAGTTGAGTCTGTCACTGAATTAAAATTGTATCAATGTGGTATCCGAACACTGACTAGAATACCGTTACGGTTTCGAAAATTATGTTTTGGGATCGATCTGGTTGTACAGTGACATAGAAATGTCAGTGTTTAAATAGGAGTGTATGTTGTTGCTTAGTAAGGGTCTCACTTCACGAGTACATACAAATTTGTCTAATGCAAAACTGCGGATGACAACAAAGAGAGGTTATCCCGTCATCAACCACACGAAGAACACTTGTTATCACTCACCGCAGCGCCGTATGGCTTCATAGTTGTCCTTTGATTTCCGGTGTGACTTTTTCTCTTCATTGGTCAATTCCTTCCACTCTGAGGGGGTGAAAAACACTTTAATATCTTCATACTCCATATCGTCAGACTCGCCGCGCGACATGGTGGTCAGCACCGTTGGCTGCGCTAGAGCCGTCTGCTGTCGCGAGGGGGGAGGGGGGGGGGGTCGGTGTAGTGGTCTGCTGTCGTGACGCGTCCCCCAGCATACGCACGACTGCAACCACACCTTGTTTTATCGTGTAACTGAGTTCAACTGGTCAGCTAGCTTCTACTCCTAGACGAGCAATGACGATCCTTGTCCCGGGTCCGGGAGTCCTTTCCCTCCTTCTATCCGTAACTGCCCGCCGCGCCCCCTGCTGATAATGCAGCTCAACCAGGGTTGTTACAGAGTTGGGATTTTCAAATTCCCTGACTTTTCCATGACTTTTCCCTGACCAAACTGGAGGTTTTCCATGACTTTCATCCCCAAAAATATTTTTAAGTTATTGGTTAAGCTCTTGTTACGGCCCTGTGAATGCATTCATTTACAGGGTGGGCACTCTCCGGTTTTTCCCGGCCCCAAAAGTGACGTTGTAGCTCGAATTTTACCGAAGCGAAGCGAGCACGAAAATTTTCAAATGTTCACCTAGCTGAGCGGTTTAAAATGCGCCCTAGATTAACCAGATCCCCCTCGCTTAGGGAACGGTACCACCTCCACTGTGGCGACCAAACTTCGACACATACGAAAGAGATTCAAAAATTTTAGCCAGCAAATGTGAGTGCAGAGTTTGAGTGCTGTACATTTGTTTTGATATTCTCGATGAAAGTATGTGCACCTATGGTTATACGAAAGAAGAGAGGGAAATATTCGCGAGCGAAGCGAGCGAAAAAAAAAAAGGATTTTAAACAATAAATTGGACTATTGTAGAGAACCGCGGGAGCTTAGCACGCTAGCAAATTTTGCAATTTTCCACCTTTTTACAATTTTCCATGACTCGGCGATTGATTTCCCTGACTTTTCCATGACTTCCAGGTTTTCCATGACCTGTAACAACCCTGTCAACCTACAGGTGGCAGAGCGTTCGCACACGTGCCAGTCTGGCAATGGTAGTATCAGTTGAGTGAGTCTGTGAGCGTCGTTGTGGCATCGCTAGTGTCAGCAGGGGGGGAGGGCGACCCAGCCAGAAACGTCGTATCGATAATCCGTCGAATCGACATCGACTTGTCGAAAAATTCATCGTTTCGACGTATTTCTGGACCTCTGGTACGACGAACGACGTCGAAATGACGATGTTGCGACATGCCATTTCTGGCTGGGGACGGTAGGTTATGGAAAACAGGGAGGAAGGACTCTCTGACCCCGATCCAGCCGGGCCGACGCGTGCGAGCCGGATCATGCCGACGACATTCGGGTGAATTTGGCTCCTACCGGGTGTTCGGGAGAATACGCGGCAGCTCGATGGGTTGCCTACGCACTGGTGTGCAGGCGCGGAGGGCAACCGGGGAGCGGAAAAGGTGGTGGGAGGCGGCCGGTTGCCTCCCGCTACTGCTTACTGCAGGGGCAACCATAAAAGTATGGTTGCAACAACAGCACAGGTGTATCAACTAAGAAAACGGTTTTCACTCCTGGTGGATCGTTGTGTCTTAACCATTTTTTATGATTATTCCTGGAGGAACTATGAGATGATTGCTACATCTGTTCATTTTCCTGGGTGCATGAGCGGGACGGCTGCAGGTGAGTTTGAGGTTGAAAGGTTGTACAAAGCAGTCCCGCGCGCCCTTACGACCCGGCCTGCTGCCGGGGGCCGTCACTTTCGAAACGTACAAACTGCAACAGATGCAAACTGCACAACAAGTATGAATGTGTAGCGCACAATCGAGGGGTGGAAACCAGAGAAAGGCGGTCAGGGGACGGCAGCTGGATCCTGGATCGGGAACTATAAACGAAGCTTAGGTTTGGGTCGGACATCTGCACAGGGCACCGCGGAAATTCTATTCCTTAAAGATGTTGTTTTTTATAAGGATTTATTGAAAAAGCTACAGTTATGTAGAGCAATAAAAATCATTCAAGCCAAAGACGATGCAAAAGCAAAATAATTTAAAACATAGTAACAATTACAGAGTATTTAAACAAAAAAAAATCGAAGATTAATGTAAATATAACAAAATAACATAACAACATAGAATAACTCCAGAAAAATATTATCTGAAGAAATGGGTTTCGTTACGGCCGGACTCAATCAGTATATTTATTATTACAATTTATGGTGGTTACTATTTATGCTGAGATTTTCATTCTCGTTTAGGGTAGCAATGCTGGACACGCGCATGGACGAGTTCTGATCGGTGTATGACAGCAAAGATAGTCACTATGAGGGAAGTCTTTACAAATAGTTTGATAAATATAAATAAATTAAAACAACAGTATTGTGTCCTCAAGTGTCTTTTGTTCTCATGGGCATATGGAGATCGCCACTGTCAGTAAACATTCTACCGAAAGTCTGTCCTTTCTGAGGTTCCTCGCCTGTGTGAGTTCTGATGTGTTCACGGTTTCTCTTTCTGTTTCTCTTTTGTGTGTGCTCTCATGTGTTCACGTAGTGTGCTACTTATAAAGAATCCTTCGCCGCATGTGTGGAACTTGTAGGGTCTCTCACCTGTGTGAGTCCTCATGTGTCTACTGAGTGAAGAAACCAGTGCGAATCTTTTGCCGCAAGTCTGGCATTCGTCAGGTTTCTCACCCGTGTGAGTCCTCATGTGTCTACTGAGTGTAGAAACCTGTGCGAATCTTTTGCCGCAAGTCTGGCATTTGTAGGGTTTCTCACCTGTGTGCGTCCTTATGTGTTGACGGAGATGGCTACTTTGAGAGAAACGTTGCCCGCAAGTCTGGCAGTTGAAGGGTCTGTCACCTGTGTGAGTTCTCATGTGCACACGGAGATTGGAACTGTAAGTGAACCGTTGCCCGCA